TGTTTTATCTCACATCACTTTCTTCTTGAACCTCTTCTGTATTAAACTCACACTCGGGGAGAGCCACACGAGGGAAGAAACGGCGTGGAACGTCGCGAGGGCCGTGTCTAGGCCGGTCCAGCCTGAGACGCCGCTCGTACTGGCGAAGGCGACGTAGGAGGCGCAGCGAGTGACTTCGACCAAGGGCGCCCATCGCCACGAGTCGTACATGGCGGTGATGTTTCCCATTGTTACCAGGAGGAACCCGAAGAACACCGCTCTGCCCGCCCACGATAACAGCTGGGGAGAGGGAGAGAGAAGGGTAGTTTCATTTCATTAGGAAGAAGGGTAAGGGGTAGGGAGAGCGAGAAAGAAGCCAAAGAGAGAAGAGAGAGAAGAGAGAGAAAAGAGAGAGGGAGAGGGAGAGGGAGAGGGGGAGAGAGAAAGAAAAAGAGAGAGAGAGAGCGAGAGAGAGAGAGAGAGCGAGAGAGAGAGAGAGCGAGAGAGAGGGAGGGAGAGAGAGAGAGAGAGAGAGAGAGAGAGAGAGGGAGAGAGAGAGAGGGAGGGAGGGAGAGAGAGAGAGAGAGAGAGAGAGAGAGAGAGAGAGAGAGAGAGAGAGAGAGAGAGAGAGAGAGCGAGAGAGAGAGAGAGAGAGAGCGAGAGAGAGAGAGAGGGAAAGAGAGAGAGAGAGAGAGAGAGAGAGAGAGAGAGAGAGAGAGAGAGAGAGAGAGAGAGAGTAAAGAAAAAAAGAAAGAAAGAAAAGAAATAGATTAGGCGGACCACACAACACCGATCTACACATCCCAACTCGCCACCAACCTCGAAGTGGAACGTGAAAACCTGCTGCAGGATAAGAGCAGCGTGGAAGTGCGCGCCCGTGTAGCCCTTCTGCCACAGGGGAATCTGGGGGTCGTACTTCACCCTCCCGCGGACGTCAGGGAAGGTCTCAAGGTCCCCTAGGCGAGGCGTCCCTGGGAGCCAGCCGGGGCCGCAGAAGAGGGCGCGGAAGAAGTCGCCCCAGGTGCTCATGCTGCGGGCTTTTCTCACGATGTCGCGAATGTAGAAGAACTGTAGAGAAATCGCGGCCGGTTTTACTACCTTTACATTGTGCGGCTACAAAGTTGTATTATCGCGAATTAGCACGTTTAGCGCCCAGTTTCTTTATCTCGTCAAGATTGCAGTCATTTTTTTTTTTTTTTTTTTTCAAGATAAATGTGCACAAATATTTTCATGTTAAAGGTGTTCTTAGTTAGAAGGCTGAACACGAGACTGGGAATCATATTTAATTGGATTACTGATTTACAAATAGTGTATGAAGTATTCTTTATTTATTTTTTATTATTATTAATTTTAACTTATTCATTTCACTCGGTAACTGGCATTATTACATCCCTTCCTTTTAACAAACTTTTTTTCTCTCATTATCAAACAGCGATCTACGAACGTAAAAATTTTCAAATCAAGTAACAGAACCGTATGCTTCAAAATAAATAAATGGCCACATAATCCCCAGCAAAACACGATCCAGGTAAAAGTATTTTACAAAACAGAACAACGAGTGGCGTCAGGTGTTATATTGAGTTCACAGGTGCGAGAACTTTATGTCACGTTTTATCTTATTTTATTCATCTTTTTTTCACTTATTTTTGAATGATGCTATAAAAAAGTAGGAAGTGGAACACTTGGCCACACTTATAAAGCGCTTTTGCTGTATTAACTTGTGTGAAGCCTCGAACTAGTAATGTCTCGAACTTATGAACTTTTAAAGCCCCGAATTCATGAAATCACGAAGCCTCGAGCCTTTGAAATTATAAATACTTGGATTTTTAAAATATGTGAAACCTCGAAAAACAGATCCGTTAGAATAAGAAAAAAACACATTTTACTACGAGATCCGGAGAATACACCAAAAAAACGTTTTAATACGTGCTCTAGGAAAAACAAGAAAAAAAAAACTACGAGAACCAGGGCCAAGCAACAAAACACACAATCAACAGTCATCCCGAGAACGAGAACCAAAGCCACACCTGCAACCAAACGACATTGCTAGTCTGAGGTTGATCCACGAGGCCGTAGACAATTTCCTCCTCCTCCCTCTCCGCTTCGAACGTGCCGAAAATTCTGTCCCAAATGATGAGGAAACCGCCGTAGTTCTTGTCCAGGCAGTACTTGTTAGCTCCTGAAATGGGTGCCTGATGGGTAACGAGTGTTTGGGAGGTGGTTGTAATGTCATTTATTAGTCGTTGAATTGGATGAGTTGGGATATAATACGATTTGATAGGAGTTTCAAATGTATGGAGAGGATAACGTGTATAAAGTGAATTGTGTGTAACATTATTACAATCCTAAATCGTTATTCCATTGTTTGCTGTGGAATTTGATGAGATGTGATATAATGAGTTGATTTGATAGGAGTTTACGGGAAAATGTACTGAGAGGGTAACGTGTATATATAGATTTTTAGCATTATTGCAATCCTAAATCCTAAATCGTTATTCCATTGCTTGCTGTGGCATTTGAC